ATGGAATTAACCCTGGCCCGATTACGCTTGCCTGATACCCGCGATGAAGAAAAAGATCGGAGAGGACGTGGACACAACCGTTTACTTCAGAGCTCAACCAAGTTGGTGTCGTTGTGTCGTGTGTGGGGTTTGCGCGTGTGTATTTGTACCTCGGATGTGTGAGTCATACATGCGCTAACATCGGGACCTGTGTGTGAGGATAATCCAAGATAGATGTCCGTGTGAATGAGGGGGGAGTTGAGGGTCCGCGAGGCTGGCGACATGCTGCGAAAAGGGGAACCCTGTGTCGGAGGTGGAGCGACCGGATTAAGGGTTGTGAATAAACACGATTCACAACAGAACCGTGAAAGGCGCTAGGACTAAGTGTTTGTCCAAGGGGAAGAACGACTTTGTCCAGGCATTTGGCCGGTCGTGTTAGCTGGAACTGAGTCATTCTGCGTAATAATACTTCTTCAATGCATCGCCTAGCGCCTCTGCCATTCTTTGGGCGGTGTAAACTTGCCCCAAGGCGTGTGTCCAATGCGCGCATTACACAGGGCTGCGCGCGCTAACCCCACCACTGTTGGGTGTTTGCTTGACAGAACACCAATTCCATAAACAGCATCCCAAATTCTGCACAGCAAAAGTTCGTTTTATAAATAACCCTCTTACGAAGAGGCAGCAGTTCAACACAAAAAAGGTGATTTTCAGGCACGTGCAAAAGTACAGGATTGGGTGTTCAGCTGGTCACGAGTTTTCGCGAATTAGCGCGTGCCAAAGCCCGTCACTAAGTTGTGTTTCATGTGAACATACCGAATGACTTTCGGACCATTTTTTTTCTTAAAAAAAACGCTTTCCACGATCGTATTTCAAGCTTCTAAGTTGCCGCTTCTGTGACTGGCTCTGCAATGTCTTTCAATACGCTCCAGTGCTTGTGTGTCCCAAGTTAGCACTCTTGAATTTAAGTCCAGTGCGTATTTTTGTGTGCTGTGCAGGTTGGAGCCGGACAAATAACGCCCGCAGTTCAGCCCCCCGAAGTAGCCAAAGGCGCCCAAAACTCCTTCCACGGACCGAAACTGGACGTCTACAGTGCTGGAGTGTCGCTTTTCTTCATGCTGACCGGTAGAGTGCCATTCAGCAGTCCAAATGTCCTCCAGATCTTCGAGGCCATCACCGAGGGCTTCTACGTGATCCCTGGGCATGTGTCGGCGCCTGCCGCCCACCTTATTCGCGGTATGATGTGCAAAAATCCGGAGGTACGTGTTCGCGGTTCTGGAACATACACTTCCACAATCGCCTGCCTACTCTTTTCAGATGTCAGTAGGCGTAAATAACCGGCACTCCGTATTCCTAGTCACGATTGCCTTTCGCCTTGTACTGGTTAGTGAGATTGTGCCCGAACTCACATGGTTTCACTGGAGCATTTTCCTGGGTATTGACAGCCTAATTTGACTTCAATCTGGTCAAATATTTGTCATGCGTAAATGTACACCTTGCTATCATTGATCAAATCCTCCTGTAATTAATGATCCCCCTGCCTCCCGACAGTTTTAAGCGTAAAACATCCCAGCGGTTCGACAACTTGGTCATGCTTAGTTGTAGTGTTTTGATTGCATGGTGTATGTCTGTTAGCTTACACGGAAAATCATCAATTACTGGTCTTCATCGTCAATTTGCAGAAGCGGCTTTCCCTGGAGAGTGTGGCCCGACACGAGTGGATCTGCAACCCCACGCACCACCCACCGCCGAGCCTTTCAACCGCCGCCCACGCCTGCGCGTCGCACTGGCAGTCCGTCGCGTCGATTTCCACGCCCACGCCAACCCAGGCACCCCGTGGCTTCCCCTGCTGGCTAGATCCCCTTTTCTACCTGCAGCGACCCACGCCGCAGTTTCAGGGGCCCCATATCGACGACACGGGCGCCCGAATCTTCTCCCTCCTCGAAATCGACACGATGTACGCCTCGGGGCAAATCCAAAGACCCCCTGCCCCCTCTCCGCCGCCACAGCCGCAACCATCTCCAACTAAGTTCAGCATTACGTCGTTTGAGGACAGGGAAGAAGAAGAGGATGAGGAGGAGGAGGACGGAGAGGTGGAGACCTCTTCATTTCCGCACACTGATGGTTACCTGACTGAGCGACATATAGCTCCTCCGTCGGTTATTAAACAGCTGAGGGTACGTTCGCCGATGTCACTGGTTCTTCACCTATAACAATTCTACGCGCATCCACAAGCATTTTGTTGGTGCTTCTCAGTTTGCCATCGCTGGTAGCAGCACCGCCTTTGCAATGGGATACTCCGTCGAAAATCCACTTTTTGTGTGGGGTGGTGGGTGTGTATCATGCCTCGACCCCATCACATATTTGGGGCATCGTGATTTCATTGGAAATTTTTCTTTGTTTGTAAATTGCGCGTCTAATTTGTAGGCCTTCCACAACTGGCCACCGCTGCCAACTTCAGAGGACAATGATTTGGATGAAACGCGGGCTTTCTTTCACGAAGCGACGGACCTGGAAGCGCCTTTAGACGAGTCCCTTGCCCAGCTAGGTGAGTTGTGCTGGCGGTCTGGCGGAATAATTTGTGTTTTTCTACAACACTAGGTAGTACCCTCGTGATCCCCTTCTAATCCCTCGTTTCCCTTTGCTTGCATAATGACCTCACAGTTCATAAAACCGACATGATCTATTCCTGTTGTTAGGAATAATGGACTATGGCGAGACCAACATGGTTCCACTGCCCGTTTTTTCGCCTCCAATGGGACACACCGCCTCTGACTATGACGAACCAGTCTCCCTGCAACCTTTCGATCGACCCCTCGGGATGTGTTCAACAGTTTGCCGCCCGCCCACCACAATTATCGCCACACCGCCAACGGGGCCCTCACGGGTGCACTGGCCTTCCCAGCCGAACGCAAGCGAGACCTCCACGACACCTCGGTCGAAGAAGCACGCTCGGCGACGCCACGCAACCTCCGACGGGGCCCACGAAAACCATCCCCTCTCGCCAGAGGACATTCCCGTCGAGGAGAGCCATCGGTTCACGATTGTGGCGGGCGCACGAGGCTGCTGGGGCGAGAGTGAGTCGGGTAGCGGGTCGCTCACCCGGCGACACCTTTTGGGCCCGCTCACCTCGGAACAGCTCTCGCGGCTTGCCTGGCACGTTGAGCATCAGCAACAGCGACGACTCCAGCAGAAGTCCGGCACCTCCGATTCCTCTCGGCCCCCAGACGACGTGAGTTTTTGTGTGGTTGAGGGGTGAAGTGATACTTGCTCTCCCAACCGAATGTCAAGCAAAACTCCTACTTTACATTATCATTATCTTCGAGATACTTCTGAACCTAAAAGTCACTTTTTTTCTCTCATTATTTATTCTGTCAATGCCTGTCTGTACCTTCATTCGTGCTGCACTCGTCTACCTTTTCATTTGGTTGGTTACCCGATGGTGTGTGAATGAAGGCTTCGTCTGGTAGCAGCAGTGGAGGCTAGATGATGGCTGGCTTGAGGGATCTCGACTGTTTATTGGGGATGTGTAGGTGTAAAAGATGCGAGGTGAGTAGGGGGGTGAAAGTTGGTGTGAAAGGATGAGAAACGTGTGATGCCGTAATCGTCTCCTCATTATCACTACACGAATAGCGAGATGTGCATGAAGCATGGTGATAAGTGCTACTTACTAGTTTTTTCAAGGGCAATTTAAATCCACAGTCCTCGTGAGAAGTGGCCCACTCTATAATCACCGATTAACCTCATGATCTATGAGGCGACAACTGCTCAAATTACGGTACTTAAGGCACAATTTAGCAAACCACAGTTGGTCATTGAAAATTGTTTCATTCTTCACCCAGATGCAGTATGCGTTGGAATTCGGAAGTAGTGTGGTGTTTATTTGGGCCTCAGGGCGTGTAGTTGTACAAGAGCTTGATGGTTTTCCTGATAGTCGCCTCAGAAATCGTCAGCATTTGTTCGACATTCAGGTATACCCATTACCCCTACAGAGATAATCCATCGCTCTGAAAGTGGCAATACACTTTCCATGAAATGCTCTCAGATGTGCTGTTTTGAGGAGAACTTCTGGCTTGCGTCACAGTGTGAAGAGTTTCTTGCCTGAAGCCCTCTTGGTTCTCTTAGAAAACCACACGAAAGGTCAGGGAGGGCAACCAGAAGGTAGAGAAGGCGCCACGTGGGGCCTCGAATGACCGTCCACCACAGCGGAAGAGCCGCCGCAACGCAGGCGCCTCCCGTTTAACGCGGTGGTTCTCCGACTCGTTGTCGCTGCTGCGCCAGCGCATTCGCACCTGGACCGGCAGTGGCACAGGCGCCCTGGAGAGGAGTTTCTCACAGGCCTCTCCCTCCGAAACCACCACCACCACATCCTTCCGCCAGCAGCACCACGGCCTCCGTTCGGCCTCCGCGATGCTCATGGTGGACGAAGACGGCGAGCAGTCTGACTCCCCCAGTCAGGCGGCGAGGAGAGAGACCGGCACTATCTCCTCGGCGTGTGGTCTTCGTCGGCACAATCGTCCGCCTCTTTCACTTGATCACGGGCCTTCGGGGTGCGAAAAGTCGAAAGTAAAAAAGTGAATGAGCGCGCGCGCGCGCACGCGGACACTTGAGTGGCACAGGCGCCCTCCTACCTCCCGCTGCATTGACTTGGCGTTGATCTTGTCCTTTGTTTTCTCCGAGACGACCCGAAAGCTGTTATTTTCTCTCTCGCCCCGTCCAATTCCTGATTAGAAATTATATGAGTGCAGATTCTGATGCTATCGTGTTTGGCGGAGTTCATCCTGTTGGGTGTCATGATGGGTATTATGTGTTTGTGTCGCCATAGCCGTACCGTCTGGATCGGTACCCAAATCACACCTGTTTCCCATTTACTTACTCCAGTCTCTGCACATTTTTCCAGCAAAACTATCCAACTTGTTGTGTTGCGGAATCAAACTCAGAGCTATAGGGTGGAAATTTCGATTCTTGTTTGCTTAGTGCAAATGCTTACTTCAAAAAGAAACAGTAGACGTGTGTGTGTGAAGTAGCATGAAGCGTTTGGGAGTTCACCTGTCTCCAGTTCACGCGCTTGTTGGGGCCGCCTCAACAGACAAGCGTCGACACAGGTGATAGGGTCCCCGTTAGGTGAAAATTACTGGAGGGGCAATTAGGGAAGGTGGTTGCCCAATTTCTTGATTCTTAGGGCAGCCGGAGGCTTGGTGTCACGGCATGCCGAAGTTAATGAAGCATTACAACTGACAATTTTCTCATTGGCGTATGACGGATAAGGCAACTGGGGGTTTCACGAGTCAGGCACTTTCCAATCTTGTGGAGGTCAACGTTACACGTAGTTTCGATCCGCAGAAATTGTTTGCGTACTACAGGACACAAATTCACTACTGACACAACTACCTATGCTAGCTTGCTTTATGCCCACACTTTTGTAGTCTACGTAACCCAGTGCCACAAGCAAAAGCTACGACATCGACGTTCTTATTCTTGACTTCATTCCAACAGCAACGAAGACGGCACTCGGGCAACATTAGCACCACAAAAAACCAGAATGGGTTTACGCTGTGTGCTATGAGTAGATGTGTGCATATTCTGCGTCAAATTTTGCCACATTTAGGCGCAAAAAAGATTGACAGAGGGAGGTTTCACATCAATTGTTCGAAGACACCAACTGTCGGCTTCAACTAGTGCAAGATCAGAGCACACGACGAATGTTTTGAATGGTTTTCTCACAACTACGTGGTGACCCCGTCAGGGTGGTTGTCTGCTAATCAAACAACCAGGAGAGCATGAAGTGCTACTTGTAAAACCAACATAACTGTAAAGGAACCGCAAGGCCCACCACTCGAATTACGCTATTCCAAGCAGCGGACAGGGACAAACAGAAGTCTAGTAGTTACAATTTCGAGAGAAGGGGGAGGGACATGGAAGTATCGTGTAGAAAAAGGGGCGGAAAAGAGACTAGGCTACAGCGGCGACAGTCGGATCTAGGCCTGGGCCCGCTTTGCTGAATATTCTGCCATGCGGCGCTTGATCTCGGGGGTGAAGTGACGAATGAGACCCTAAAAACGACAACAGGGGAAGTTAGCCAAGCCAGAACAACATTATTCTTCTGCATCCATCTAACGTTATTAGTACGTGCAGAAGGCACTTGTGTGCACAATAGTGACAACAACAGGGAGACCAATCTGGCCCACATCCCAAGTCTCCAATACTAGATTATCAGAACTTTAAAATCCGATTTCACAGCAAGAATACAATCCGAATCCGGGGGCACTAAACACGTGGTCGTTGTGAACCGACACAAGAAACGACATGAAGAGGGAATGACCAGTTAGAGGGCAAGGGTTTGGACGATGGGAACCCTACCTGCACAGGCCATGCAGCTCCCTCGCCAAATGCACAAATCGTGTGGCCCTCGATTTGCTTGGAGACTTCGTACAAGAACTGAATCTCCTCCTCCTTCGCGTTCCCAGTCTCTGTGCAGGCGAAAAGACAAGGCACGTGAATTTCGCGGGCATTTTCAACAAACAAAATAGGCTTATCATTGATTGTGACGGTTTTGCAAAAGATTCCGTGATTTTGCCAATTCAGACGGTTTTCTTTGATTCCTTCCTAACTCACATTCAACAATTACTGGCAGCAAAAACACCCAACGAGGTCAATCGATTACCTAATTACACCTTTTTGGGCAACCTAGTTAGTTTTGTGAAAATTCACAAATCTCAAAAAAACTGTAATTAGTAACCATATAGGAAAAGCAAAATTGCCTTAGTTTGGCAGTGACTTGAATAGCCTCATTTGGGTAAATCGAGTGCGGTGGTAAAAAGAGCGAAAAACATCGAAATCGCTTACGAAAACGCTGCATAATCTTCAACATCCAATTGCAGCCTTCACGGCAAGGTGTGCACTGTCCACAGGACTCGTGTTTGTAGAACGCGCTCAAACGGGCAATGCATCGGATGATGTCAGCTGACTTGTCCATCACAACGATGGCGGCGGTTCCCAGACCCGACTGAACCTCCATGAGGGCATCGAAATCCATCAGAACGGTGTCGCAGATGCTGGGTTCGAATTAAAAAGCACTATACACTGAGTGAGCCCACTCAACTGTAGAAAAACAACAATAACAGGGGCGGCCTTAAAGCCGACAACATCGCTAAGATCTAATCCATAGATCCCATATCTGATGAACGTTTCACCGAGTGAAATAAATCGCATGACGACTGACCGACGCCAATACTAGAGTCCAGGCAAATTATGAGGCGTAAGTTTCCAAAAGTCACACACCAAGACCAAGTAGGACGGGACACCGCATAGGCAGATGGTGGTGTGTAACCAATATACTTGCTTACAAGAGGACCTCACTACGCAATCTGGTTGGAACACTAGAGTTCAGGCGACGAAAATTACGAAAAAGTGGGCATCCAGGCGCATTTAGAAGTAGGGTCCAGAGGGAATATTAACCGTTAACCACTAGCTACATTGTAGTTAAGATGAAAAAGGTGCAAGTGAGAGGCCCATCCTATTCCTTATGATGTCAACCAACGAAAGTGCTACGCATTTGGGAACAAGTTCGATATCCGACCTATTAAGAAACGATTAACGAAAGACGCGTGGAGCTCACCTCTTTGGAATAACAGGAGTTGAGCTTCCACCAGGGATGACAGCCAGAAGGTTATCCCAGCCTCCACGAACGCCTCCAGCGTGTCGTTCGATCAATTCTTTCAAGGGAATTGACATGCTTTCTTCGACAGTGCACGGATTGTTCACATGACCTAAAGGAAAGAGTGCACAAATGCGGACACTGGAAGAACAGTTGGACAGACTGGTTTTCTCAGTAAAGTGGAAAGGCTATGGCCAAACTGGCAACGAAGTGATACTACGCGCCAGATGAGTGGGCTTCCATACCCGAAATATTGAAGAGCTTAGTTCCATGGTTCCTTTCACGTCCAAAAGACGCAAACCACTCGCCACCACGGCGGCAGATAGTCGGAGAAGAGGCAATTGTCTCAATATTATTCACCGTCGTGGGGCAGCCAAACAGACCCACATCGGCCGGGAACGGAGGCTTGAGACGCGGTTTGCCCTGAAATGGTTATTAAGCAGATTTGCTAGCACCTGGTTGGGTAGACGATGCGCATTCCAAAGGCAATATATGTTTGCAAACCTGCTTGCCCTCGATGGATTCTATCAGGGCAGTCTCTTCACCGCAAATGTAAGCACCGCCACCACGGTGGATGTAGACGTCAAAGGCGTACCCACTCCCACATGCGTTCTTACCGATCAGACCCGCATCATACGCCTAATTTGGTACAGTAAAAAAACTCTGGTTAACCTGGACTAACCTAGTGTGTGATTTTAGTCTTAGCAACTTGCCTCATTAATTGCCTCTTGGAGGATGCAAGCTTCATTGTAGAATTCACCACGTATGTAGATGTAGGCGGCTTGGGCGCCATTGCCAACACCGGCGACGAGGCAACCTTCAATAAGGGAGTGTGGATCGTGTCGGATAATTTCTCTGTCCTTGCAGGTTCCCGGCTCACCTTCGTCTCCGTTGACAACTAGATACCGCGGACTTAAAAAGGCATACGAAAACAATAAACGAACCACAGTCCGGTGTGTTAGGATAGTGTTCTAGCCCACAACAGAGCCCTTAACGATGGCAGTAGTGCTTGATTAAAGAAAGTCAACCACAAGCTGAAGCTGAGTTAAGCAACATAACATTACTGATTTTTATACTCAGGCGATCGTTGGAGGCGATAAGGTGCATGAAAATAACACTTGTGACGCCAGGAAATAACCACAAACATGAAACCCCATCATTTAGAACAATCTGAATGTTTTAGTAGATCTAAAACGACCAGAACACACTCCATGGTAAAATATGATAAAATCAGACTTCTTGTTAGCCGAAAATACCACAAATACATATATGCAGACGAAAAATAAAGGTATTGGTAGGAATAGCACGTGGTAGTCGCTAGTTCAATAGAGAAAATTTCCAAGTGGACATCAACCGGTGGCAAAGTGGTTTCACGATACAAAGTGTCAAGGTAAACCACATGGCGCAAAAAACGATAATTTAAAACACTCGAATTGGCTACGGCTAAATAAAATCGATAAAACACCAACCGGCCGTCGCTTGGTTTGCGCATAAAGCTCCACTTGACACCTGTGGGAAAACCGGCTCCCCCTCGGCCACGCAGACCAGACTTTTTAATTTCATCAATAATCCAATCTTGACCCTTTAGGATAATTTCTTTGGTTTTGTACCAAAAACCCTAGAAAATGTTACAGAAGTCGAACAAACACACCCTTTGCATGGCACCTTTAAGATGCCAATCATGTCTACCGTATAGGTTGTTAAAAATGCGATCTTCGTCTTTGAGAGGAGTCGCGACGCCACTCTAAAATGCGACATCATGGAAAAGAAAAAGAACTTACTACAGAACGAGTAATCCGGGCCAAGGAAGCGCCCAAACGGACACCGCGGTCTGTATAACAAAATAATTAAAAAAACAGTTTATCAAACATGAACGCAAGTATCAGTAATCAGAAAAAGTAACGACAAAGAGAATAAGGCCGCAAAAGGTTTATGAAGTGAACAAATAGAGAACATTAATGTCAAAAAATGAAATAGCTTCAAAATTGTTGCAATTTAACATTATTTCAACATTACGCATAAAATATGTTAAATCAAACAATCATATGGCAAAATAAACCTACAACTGGGTACAAAAAGCGTCATTACACCAGTGAGGTAAAATGCCCTTTAATGGCTACCAAGGCTAAAAAACTGGCTACCAAGCAGTCATTGGTTGGAACCTTTTAGTTCAAATAACCAAATGTTTGGAGTGGAAAAAAATATTAAACCCCTTGACAAAATTAAGCTGTTTTATTTATTTAGCTAAAAGAGTGTAAGTTATTTTCAGTTTCTAGGTCAACAATTTAAAAATCCTTGGCATACTTTCAGTGAGTGTATGTCTGCTGTTTCAGAAATGGGTTTTGCAACGTCTATTATAATAATAGCACCTACATTTTGGCGAGTATATAAGAAAAAGATAAAATTAGTGCTTTAGTTGCTGGTCACTTACCTTAGTTCTACACTGGTATGCAAATGTTTAAAAAAATCGAGACAAATTTGTTAAAGAGAAAATGTAAACTGTGAAGTTCGTTTTTTTCCACAACGCTTTTTTTTAATTTTTGACTCTACCTCTCATCTTTCAAAATTTCAAAAAATGAATGCATTCATGTACCTGTGTTCCTTTTTTTAAATTGAGTTTTATGTACGATATTTTATTTGGCCGTTGGCTGGTATTTATGAAAAGTATTGTTTGCCAGAATCTTCTGATGTGAGTCCAAAATTTTTTTGGTTTAACAACATAGCATTTATTAACGGTATTAGTGGCCAGAGGTATATTTTACTTAAGTCCTCTGTGCTTTGACCTGGTTTTATTATATCTGAAGCAAAATGCCAATAATCAGGTCCTGTGACTTCCTGTATTGTATGCTTCGTCGCAGTCGCTGGCCAAACATGATCACGTAATATTATAGCTTTGCATTTCTTGTGACGTAATTCAAAAAAATTCAGGTTGAAACATGGTCTTATTCATTCTATTTAACTATTACAATTTTATCGTCTCCACAAATTTAGAGTTATGGGAATACAGTTTTTACTGATGTAAAAATTGCTGTAGAGTGGAGTGTGTCCACATATTCACCTATAAAATGAATTAATTTCTTTTTTTAAATAGTTAGGTGTATTTTAATGGCCTAATGTTTTATGAATGCACCAAAAATCGTCACCACTAATTTTGTTTAAAGTAACTCTGACATGCTCTAAGCCCTATTTTTGCACCACGATTACATCATGAACTTTCCACGTTAAAGTGGGGAACTTAATTTAGCTTAACCTGAGAAACCTTCAGCACGGGAAACTTAATAGGGCTTAGGCACCAAGTCAGTCACAATTAGTGGCAAATTTTAAACAAATTATTAATCGAGATGGTGTCCGCAATTGTGCTCAAAGTTACTTTTAAAGACAGTAACTCTGAATGGTGCCCATTCGACAACTATCTATCGTTTTATTAACTATTTAGCCTTTATATAGCAAAAGTCTTTAAGTTCTCTTATCATTTTTTTGAAAAAGTAATCAGTAACTTAATTTATAGATAAATTTGCAATAAGCAAGTGTTAGCATCAATGGATCGTTACATGATTGAGTGTTTGATACTAGTTCTAACTTCACAAAGACTAGTTTTCGTAAACGCCGACATAAGTGGACCACTCAACAAACTTATTAGGGCGTGGCAATTGAAGTATAATAGCAGGTATATATAGTAGTTACCGTAAACTACGTCTTAGCCACTTATGAAGCAATTGCCAACTTTATTACTGGTTTACCAAAATTAACTTCGACTGCACGCCTTTATTTTCCTATATTGATTAAGGTGTAGTAGTTTGATGTACACCGCAAATCTGATCGCGTACATAAAATAACAATAAATGCACGATGTGATCACAGAATTTGGTTTGGTGTAGATTTTATCAACTACCCTAATTTAAATTAATCTTACACCACTTTATTCTAGGGTAGTTGTCTTAACAATAACGCAAACGATTGACCAAAACCTCCTTAAATATGCCAGGTGGCAATTGCGAATAAGTTAGCCCTCAAGAATGCCCCATTGGTGGTGCTCACCTGATTACACCTTTACAACCAACGAAAGCAAAGAAATCAATTCCTTACTGAATGTGAAGATGAGTTCGTACCTGAGGCTATTATGAGCTGATCGTTTCAAAAGCCCTCGTGAGTTGGGCACCTTAATTGCTGACGGAAAAGCCAGTTAAGGGCGCAGCCATCATTAATCAGCGTTTAGGAATCCACGCTATGGGGAACATCAGAAATTGGCAATTCTGAATGCAGTAAAGACGAGGTACTTCTTTGTTAAAGCCAACGTCAGCCCAGTTCCATAAAAGTAAGCATGTGAGCCATGATTCTGTACCGACTTATCAAAACGCTTGGGTTGAATTACTACGGAAAACAACAGATTCTTTGCCCAAAAAGAAAATTTTATTTCCAACGTTAATTCAAATAAACCTCCTGTTAAGAGTTTCGGGTCTAACACTTTTTTTACAATTGAATGGATGCTGCAAATAAAGAAGCAGAAGCTAACTTAATTGCATTTTTCTAGGCTTATTAGAAGATTCCAGGACTTAAAATTTTCAACATTTAAGCGAGCACCTCACTGCAGCACTCGAGCCCAACTCGGCACGGCCCACCACCATTCTCCCCAGTCGCAAGACAAAGACGTCGGTTTGCTCAGCTTGAGTTGCCTGTGATTGGTAGTGCAAGTGAATGGGGCAAGTTGATTCGTGGAGTAATCGCGCATATCTCAATAAATTGCACGCGATTTGCAATGTGACAAGCGTCGGTGTGCACGCGCACGTGTGTGAATGCCAAGAGGTTTTTGCTACAACAAAAAAAAGAACATTGCAAGGGCCCAAAAGGATCTAATCGTAGCCGCGATAAGTGAGTCAACTTGTTACATCTACCTTCAATTTTGTGCAATCTTTATACGTAAAATACGGTGTCTCACGTTGGCACTCACGCGAAAATACAATGCTCTGTTTTCGTATAATCAAAGGTCAAGTGATTTCGACAATTTTTTTAATATAAATTTTAAAAAATAAGGTGTTTTGAGTTGAATTTTACACACACCAGGCAGAACACCTTCAATGTAGAGAGTTTTCACAAATTTGAATTTGTGCGACCTTTGTTTGGATGAAATGGAGATTAGATTTCGAACGAGGGGTGTTATCCCAAACACCTTGGCACATAACGCTTCATTGAGTAATTTACGATATGTAGTAATTTATGGTTTTTCACACATGAAGACACCTGTGACGTAGTAGCTGTGGAAGTAAAAAACGAAACGTACATTGCTTCTTCACAGGCTAATTACGCCATTTCCTGAAACGTCATATTGCCTTAATTGCGTTAGTGTTCATGGTTGTTAGGGGAGAACAACAGTCGATTCAACGTTCCTCCTCCCTATCCGTTTCATTTGCGAGCTCAACAAGCAGTTTAAGGTGATCACGCCACACAAAGGGATTCCTGTCTGATACTTACTTCAGTTGTCAGGGTGAGGAGAATGCACGTGCTAAGACATGATTTATCGTGGGAGCAAAGGCTCACACAGAATGACTTCAATGACATCTTAAAGTGCTATGCGCTGTTTGTGAAGTTGTCTTCGCTTTTTGTTTTTGGGGGAAACTGCAACATGGAGCAGAGCCGACGCTTGAGTGCGCGCAACGCACTGGCGTCTCTCGCAGCGTATGTTCTCCCGGGGAAGCCTTCCTTAAGTGCTCCTTTGACCCTCAAATGGCTCACGTTTGATCCCATCAGCTATGAACTCACTAATCCCTGCGACCAAAAATGTGTTGCTTTTCGAGGTCGAAACAGATCATGCAACGTTGTAGTCGCGTCAAAATTCAGTGTCCATCTAAAATCCAGGAACTGTTGCCTCCGTAGCAAACGGTATTGTAGTAGTGGTATTTAGGAACATGAAGCGATTGATACAGCAGCCCCGATAGCCAAAGTACATCCTCTTGTGTGTTTAGAGAATGACCAATGCAGGCCTCGGTAACCACTTTACCGACGATCGTGACTGAGTGGGGCCTTGTTACCTGTGTTTTTCACGTCTTGGAAGACCACAAGGGATGCAGACATTACTCTGGCAGTTGAATAACCAATGTCCACATCCTTACGTGCATACCCCTTTAACCCTCACCAGATATTCGACCATGGTGTATCGCTATTATTTTGATGCAGGAAAATTAACTGTGCATGTGCTAAAGCAAAATCAACCTTGAAACTGGAGCGATTTCCTAATTGTTATGTTTGACTTTACCGCACACATCTTAACTTTTACGCACCTAGACCACAATTGGTATGTGGTTCCGCCTTGCAGATGTCACGGCATTGACCAGGTCAGTAGATAGCTCCACAAACGAACTGCGGATATTGCGTACTCAAGTGACATAAACAAAAGCAGAGATACGTGCTGCAGTGGACAATGTCTTCGACTTGATTGTTAATTTTTTCGGATCCGTAGGGACCACAATCTGGTGTGGAAACCATCACCTGGTACTCCCTTACTACGTGTGTACAGATTAAAACTCAGTTGGAGTTTGTTGGCATTGAGGGTCAGTTTTCCCGGGGGATACGTCACACCATCTCCTAGATAGAGTATTCAACAGCTATAGTACGTAATCTGTTAAAGGCGAGTTGGAAGGGCGTTTAATTCAAAGAAGGGAAATGACTTGTTATCGGGAGGTCTGAATGATGAAATGTGATAAGCAAAACATCCCCTCAAATTGCATTTACTAATGCTGAAAATCCATCCAAGTGTTTCAGATTCGTCTGACGATTTTACTTTAAATAGACACTTTAAATTTGGACAACAAATATTCAGCATTGAAATATAAATCTTCATCCATGCAAAATTGAAAATGTTTTCAGTTGCCTCACCTGTGTCTAGTTTGATGTTACCGATAGTAGAGTACTGTGTGAAAAGTTGATTGCATTGCCGACCAATAGCATCATTAGATCTACCTTCGAATTTTTGTACGCAATATCGCGACTCACTTTTGACACTGACTTTGATTTGAGTAGATTGTATGAAAATAGAAGGTGGTCGCCTCACGCCCTCCATTGCAAGATGCAACCTACACTTCACCACGTTTCTTTTTCCATCAAATCAGTTGAACGCGCTTGATCTCTTAGCTTGTCCGTAGCATTACGGATTTGGTTTAGAAGAAGTGTTCAAAGAAACGAATCAGATGTGAAAGCACATTGATCTGATGTGGCCTCAGCTAGCGGATGCGCATTTCGCCCTAGATTGTCCAATCGGTGTTCACCACCTTTGAGAAAGCAAACAAAACCAAATCAATAAATACCCACTTGTATTTATGGCCAGAGAGGGCGAGTGTCTGTGTTTTGAATATGCTCCTATTTTTCTGTTTACCTTTTTAGGAAACACGAAGCGATCGAAACATGAATTATCTCGAATCCCCACACTCAAGAAGTGAAATTATGGCGCAGGTACAGATGATGATTATTTTTATGCTAAATTTGTGCTGTTCGAAACACCCACACTGTGCTTGGTAGAAAACCCAAGAAAGTTAACACCTAGTTGTTGACTTGGCCTGCGTACAGCTTGGAGGCCCATGCCACCGCCGTGCCTCGTGTTCAAATCAACACATGTACAGTCAGTTTGTGTAATCTTGCTCCTAAAGCCTGGCCCATCCAACGTTGGTGATACTTTTCTCGCATCACCAAACACCCTGACTTACGAGTAAGGCACGAAACTGTGGGGGCGTCTTAAGGTTATATTTGTCATGACGATCAAGATCAACGGAGTGATCTGACTTGGATCAAATTTGACAAGACGCAGGTGTTTGCGCATACAACCGAGGCACTGATTTAGCAGTCTCGCTAAGGCACGCCCACATTGTGTTTTGCGTTAAGGTGAAGTGCGAGTATTCACCATTATCACCCCACTCTCATGATCTATGACTAAAGAAATCAGGCGATTTTTTTTAACATGCTTCTGTCATCATTCAACTTGAAACGCTAATGGAAAATAGCGAAAAATTTGGGTTCTAAGCACAGATTTCCCCTCTATGTCTTTTGACTGAAAAAACAGATTGTATGCATTTTTGGTTAGGTTGATATTCGGCACACCAGGTTGGTGGGGGAGGCCTGTCAATAACTCATCCTTGCATTTCATTGGTTACTGTTTACCAGAGGATTGTAAGGAAGTACTTAGCAAGCCACTACAGATGTTTTCAACAAATGTGGTAAAATTCGAATTTGACTGAATCGCAGGCTTCGTATCTAATCACACGACACCACGCCAGTTGGTCTGGTTTTGCTTCCGTGTCTTTGGCAGACATACACAAGATGAACTACCCTCAAATCACCAGTCCAGCTTTTTCACAAGAGATGGTATAATTTAATAAATCACCGTCTGCACAGATGAACACCGCAGGTATTCATGACGTTTGGCATTCCTCTGTCGCCTCTGAATTTTCAATCAGCAGTAACCCCTGTCAATCATGCGGTGTCAAACACGACTCTGTGCTGTCGCCTTTTTTTGGGCTACCGAGTCAGGCGTCTTAACAGCCTGCCAGATTTTGCTCGACATTGACATCTGATACTAGGATCTAATTCGCATAATTTTAGCTAGAAAACATTTTGTTACATTTGATCCAAAAGTTAGGCAAGTAGTCACCAGCTCTGCTAGTTTCCTGCGATAGTGCTGTAGTCTTGTGGTGCACAAACATTTGTAACGCATATCAGCAGAACTCTGTCAATTTACACAATTTTTCATCCAAACACACTACAACCCTCGGTAAATTATGCTAAATTTCAGTTAAAGATATGTTTAATTGGGTAGGTGTAGGTATTGTCATGGTAAAATATGGTAGACGACAATAACGAGGCGTGTTTCCTGCCGAAACATCAAAACTCGCGCCAGTGAGGTGCATTCCAATCAAAGCGTAGATGGGTTGACTGCACCCTATTAAGCAGAAACTCGGATACCGCTTTAACTACGATGTGTGCTGTGTTTTAAGGCAAGCCAGAGTGCTCGTGGAAGGAAGTGTGCCTCTGCTATTACTGGTCGATAGTTCAAATCTCCAACATGACACTCCGATATTATCCCAAAATACTTAAAAAGACCACCCGTGCCACCAGTAACCACTTAGCTCTATTTCCTTTTAAGTAACGTTTAGAAATACTCGACTTCTCTACCCTAAACACGTAGGTAATTTTGCCTCAAATAGCTATCTTTGTCAGCGTATTGCAGAATGCAACAGGATGCTCAAGTTTCCCCAATTTCTCTGGTTTCTTCGCCGTTTGAAGTAAAATTACATCCACTAAATCCAACTTTCTGTCGCCTTAATTTGATTTTACAAGCAATTGGGGACCTGCGGCCTCCACTATTTACATAATTCAATGGCAGTTCTTATAGATTTACCAATCACTAGTTCACCTTATCAAATAGAAAATCGATTTCTAGTTTGGCGTTGACAATTAATTTTAGCATTGCATTTTGTTAAATGCAGACAAACAAGCGTCGAGGACAAAGGAGTCCAGTCGAGCCATCTTTTATGAGTGTGCCTCTGCAGTATGATCAGAGACACACCGCCTCAACCAGCGACCTCCACATCGCCTGCGGCCCAAACGGCTACGCTGAAAATGACAACAGTCGCGGTCGGCAGACATTCCATCGCGAGCGGAGGCACATAAGGCCGGATCACATTCGGCCGAAGCGACCGATCTCAGGTAATGGCGATCACTTTACCGTCCAGCTAAGCTTCATGACCAGTTGAAATCGAGCATCACTCAATGCTGATTCACTTCCTAGTTTTACAGTAGGAACACACGAATTTGTATGCTAAATGAGGATTACTGGTAACCCTGTTCTTCAAGTCAGTCGGAATTTTTTGGCCACAGAAATTAAAGTCGTCTAGAAAATAGTGGTAGAGAAAGAAGGCTTGTGTTTGCAGTTTGGCTTTAAAAGCACACGATACAAATCGCAGGTTAGGTTGGAAAATAGCTATTCCTTTCAAAATTCACGCATGTACACACACACACACACACACAACAGACTGCTGATTGGAGAAATTGGTTGAACACAATTGACAAGCAAAGCCCGTGCACCACGACACAAAAGCCACAAAAAGGCCCTTCCAGTCAAACGGGAAATGTGAAACCTCCTTTTTACTTGTGTGCATGTAGAATTCCAGCTGGGGCGGTTTATGCGGTAGCCGCTTTGTGAAGGTGTGTAACCTAATGGACTCGAAATTGGGAAAATTACAATGTTGTAAACCACGTATTGTGGTCGTTCAACCAATGTAGGGGAAATTAAATTCCAGTTTTTTATTGTTCCCATTTAGCAATACATATGCTTGAAAACAGGTGGTTGGGTGACTCTTAACTAAACTGCTGCAAGCTCCTTTGCTTCCAATTAGTGATCATTTAGCAGAGCTTGAGATGCAGTGTTGTCGAATGTGCTGTTTACCAGTTGCCGCTGTACACTCGGGTATTTTCGGGAAAAATCGACACAAATTAAGTCGTTCACCTAATATTTTAGCACAAATATATGCGCAGAACTCCTCATCTGAAAGCAGGGAAAGTTTAACCAATGTTCACCTCACACTACCCAGAAAAAGTGCTCTACGGAGGGCAGCTGAGAGCCTAGACTCCACTGGCAGTCTTCCAACCATGCAGGGCCCCCACGAGCCCAACGAACTGCTGGAAGCGCCGGCGCGGAAGCCTCCAGCTCCACTTCATGGCGTCATCCTCAAGAACCGCAAACGCCCCATGAAGGGGTGGCACGAGGTAGGACGTCAGTCTCAAAAGCATCTGCTTTGCTTTATCAACGCAATCTCTAAACTTGCAGATGAAAAGGCATTCCTCCACAGTTATTCTAAGTAGTCATGCTTAATGTGGGTTCGAATACAGATTTGTCAAATATTCATGTTCAAAGCCCTACCACTGACACAAAACTGGTTTGGTACATTTCGTGCAAAAATGAACACCAAGGCTGATTCATCGCCTGCACGACTATACGTATTGGTCGACTGCGTGCAACCGAATTTTTCATAAATGCACACACACACCATGCAGGTCTAAATTGCCCACCAATGGCTTCCCGAATTACAAAAGACGAGCCAGTGCAAATATTCACGTTCCAGATTTTACTAATTTGAAAAAGAGCCTCTTTACTCAAGGTCTCAACTTGGAATTCCTCGACGATCCGCTGAGTGCTGCCACAATCATCACGCATTTGAGCTCTGTACTGTTATTTCATAAAGCAAAACCACTTAGCTAGTAGATTTACCTTAGTTACTTTGATAAACTGGTAGAATTGCAAAATAACATTTGAAAGACTTCAGAACGTCTCCCCCTTAAGGGTCGACGGAATCTCGAATTACTACACAATTTTTCAACTCGTTTCTCCCAGTTCGGCGTTACTTGAGTAAAAAAGCCGTTTTGTGCTGGAAAATTGAACGGCGCAGCTTCGTAGGCCTAGTCGCAAAACGGTTTCTTTGAATCCACAATCATTTTTTTCCTTCGTTTAGCGCTTCTTCTCACTGAACAACGGTTGCCTTGCCTACGCAAAAACCTCGAATTCTGTAAGTTTTCATGCTTTCTTACCAGTAAGGCAAAGGCAAATGCAAATTTAAAAGTTCTAAATTTACATGTCTGTGGCACGGTACAGCACGGAGTCCACATAGAAGAATGCGAGGCTGGAAAGGGGTTCAGGTGTTTACTAGATTAGCCCACGAGTACGGACAGGGCCGAGTGTTTACGCATGCGCCTCAAGCACATCCATGCAGGGCACGACTGATGAGGGTTGCTGGTCAATAAAGAACTGATTCAGAGGCAGGAGATGTGTGCGCACACTGGGTCATGGGTTGCAGTGACGTAGCCGATTAACACGATTCGCTGCGGTACCAACTTGAATCTCTGGCAAGCCTCGGTATGTGCTCGTAAACCACACCGGTGCTGCTGCCTTGTGATAGCCCGATACCAGGTAAGATCAGTAAGAAAGGAGATGGGAGAACTAGTGGAAGTACTTTCTAGTCAACTCTACGGAATCGAATCAGAAATTGCTGTGATTGTACCGATGACAATGCAGAAGAGGCCTTTTCTCGGATTGTTCTCCGTGTGTGGATTCGCAGGCAGACGTTTGAACTACCAATCTGCCTATTAATAAGCCGAAATCACCAAATTTTTGCATGAAGTTAACATGGCGGTCACATCTTTGTTACAAATATCCATCAACCATTTGGGTTTAGCGACTCTTGTAGCATGATCCCAGTATTTCCTCTATACATATTCTGACATCGGATGACATCTATTTTTACTTTAAGAAATCCACAAGCTTTTAAAATCGTTACCTAATAATACAGCAAGACGTTTGGTTTAAGAGTAGCATTCTCAGATGACATGTGCCCTACCAACGCGTTGCCAGGCATCAGACAGAACGATTGACCACAAATCCTGTCGTAACGGCACACCGTCAGTGAGCCACTTGCACCGCCATGCCTTCTTTTACTAACTTATCCTCAAACATGCCTGTGTAATGCTTTTATTCAGCTACGGCAAGGAAGATCGCTAACCCAAATCGATCTCGCCAATACCTGCGTTACTGCTGCACCCGAAAAATTGGGCATTGATATTGACGCGGCGTCCCTAGTGTGCCACTTGAAGGTAAAATGTTTTCTTTGCAGGTTTATGCAAGTGCTTGTTTGTAATACACCACAAAACGGGGATTTTATTTTTCCATAAAATTAGGCACACGTGGCACGAAGACGATTTTTATGGCCTACGCAAGGCCCCTTCAGTTTTAAAGGAATATTAATTTTGTGTGAATTCTCGTTGGGCAGGTCTAATCGAGGGTGATGCAAATTTGCAAAGACATTTTGGTTTCTGCAAATAGCGAAAACAAGGTCAATTGGATAAATTATTAGCGCTTACGTAGTCAAGAGAAAGGAAGAAAGCACTACGTTTCAAAACGGTTTTATTCGGGTTGAATTTGAACTAAGAATTTAATACTAAAAGTAACTGGTGATTTTTGTAAATGTGGATCAAGTTTGAAGAACCCGAGAGGTTTCAGCAGTGGTTGACAGCCATCAGGGAGCATCGAGCTTACGACCAATATCGAAACGCCTCACTGTCCACGGGTCGACCTGGCGCCAGCCAACCAACGTGGAGTGCTGCATCCACCCTCAGCGGGGATGGAGCCGTCTCAACAAGCAGTGGTTCTTCCGCCCATACCGGTGATTCGTTGCAAGGCGTGGGGAAAACGAAAGTCAAACGGTTGCCAAAGGTTCAATCGGATTTCTCTTTAAGACCACCGGAGCATCTACTGAGGCATTCCAGTGAGCAAATCACAGGTAACAAGGCAGTTGAGGATAGCATACTATTAGATGGTGGTTTAAATCGATTCAGTGTTCCTGTTTGATGACACGCACCGGTTGCTTGTGATTACTGTAGGTTTAAACTTATATGGGTCACTTTCAACGGAGTTTGGCGTTTACCACGCAAACAACCCGAAGACGTTGATGAAAGTGATTGACTCTGAAGGTCATTTTTCGACATGAAATCAGCACGTAGCACGACAACAACAATAGCACATGCTTCTAAGCCAAGGAACAAACATTCTGGATGTCATGCATCACACAATTCGTGCACACAGTCTTCAGTGATCAGCATAAAAGAGTGGTACTGCACTGCCCAGAATCACTATTCACATCCTACAGCATTACATTTGGATCTGATTTCAAGGTTTTAAACGTGGACGTTAGACGCGTATGGAACACGAATCACTCGAATTGGAATTCAATTCAAAATCGAGAGGTGCAATGGTGCCTGGAGCTGGAACATATTATCTTAACCTTGATGAACACTTAAGGTAGTCACCGTGAGAACTAATCCCCCTCGCGCGCGTGCGCGCTCACACACACACGTCATGGTAACCACTTTGTGCGTGGCAGTGGTTACTCCTCCTTTCCCGTCATAAAAGTGAACGGAACTGCACATTCTGTTGATATCCTGTAAAGCTTGATTGACAAGGAAGTCCGGTAGGTTAAAATGTTAAGCATTAGAACAACCAAAGCTACTTTCCCCAGTTGACTACGCTGCGTATAGTGTTTGCTCAGTAAGTCTCATTCAAGGCGTGAAGGTATTAAGTAGACCATGGTTATTGCTTTCTGAGAATCTCGATTGGGCATTTCAGCGTTTTCTGTTCAATATCTGATCTAATCTGCGATTTTCCGGTTCGGAAGCTTTTGGCCTGAACATTTTAGTAACCTCCATTTCAATCAAGTATAGTTGAACCCTACGTCGAGTTTTGGTTGGATGGCATCAATTTGTGACCTAGCCAATAGGCCCTCAGGTCTTGGTTTACTTCAACTTTTTGTATGCTACATAGACCCATTGCCGGATTTTAGTTCACGCTCCTCGTCTTTTATTTGTACAACCACACAATTCCCCTTTAAATTTATCCACCAGGAAGTAATACGCACAAATACTTTACACTCGCTGCTATCCACTATGTTCGATTCTTGCTACATAACTTAAGTGCGTCTGTCGGCGTTGTCCCGCCTACGCGTGAATTCTTTTTTTTCGGAACAACATTCTATAAGCATTCCCCAGAAAGTAACAATTAAATTAAAAGGAAGAAAGACTTCAAATCGCGGTTTTATCTCGTAGTAACTGTATGCTGGAATAAGCTTTTTATCTGGTGTCAAGTACCTCGTAAATCCTAGTTTGTCGTCAGTATGTCTTTCTACTGGCAATCGTAAGCCGATGTTTACCCACACGGACTGGTCCTCTTCTTTCGTTTTACAAAATATAACTCTTGCCTCTGCCACCTTGCGCGAAACCAACTAACCCACAGATCTGGTTGTGGCTGGTTCGACTTTAATTGTTTAACCACGCACGCTTGCACCATTCCTTGGCTGCTCAAAGAAATGGCGTTTCGAGTGCTGTGTGGGTTGTAAGGTACACTGTTGAACATCGAGGTCTTTAAAACGACCTCAAAACCCCAGCAGTACGCCTCTACTAGACACACTACCAGCTGACTTACGGGCGTAACTGGGAGATTGAGTTAGCCTACCACTTTATTATTGTATTAACTCGATTAATTCACCAAGTATTTGACCTAAGTAAATCAGCAGTTCGTGAACCGAATGGCTTCTAGCTACCGTGATACTTTTGAAATGTTTAAATGTTAGCGATGTTTCTTGTACACCGAAATAATATTGCTTGGTTGCAATTGCTGTGGGCCCCATCATGTGGTCCTGAACCACGCCGGGGCCACGGAATTAACCCTGGCCCGATCACGCCTCCCAGATACCCGCGATGAAGAAAAAGACTGAAGAGGACGTGGACACAACCGGTTACTTCCGAGTTCAACCACGCTGGTGTCGTTGTGTCGTGTGTGAGTCATAGATGTGCTAAAATCTAGGCCTAGGTGTGAGGTTAATCCAAGATACATATACGTGTGAATGAAGGGGGAGTTAAGGGTTTGCGCGGCTGTCGCCATGCTGCGAGAAGGGGAACCTTGTATCGGAGGTGGAAGGACCGGATTAAGGAGTTGAATAAACACGATTCACAACACACGCTTCACAAAAAATTCGGGAGAGTAAAAAGTTTGACTAAACCTGATAAACACAATTATTCCTTTTAGCAATTGAAAATTTGCTGCGAAAATTGGAGAGTATATACAAAAATCTTCAGGATACTCTGGATGAATCAGTGGTAGGTTTGTCACTCCATTTTTTCAATAATTTCCCAGCACACCACTGTGATTATTTTTTTTTCTGCTAAGGGGCCTAGAAGCAAACTTGTTTGGTTAAATGCCAACATATTAGACATTTTCACCTGAAATGGGCTTTTGCCCACTCCAGTGACAAAATTGCCGTGTTGATGACAACGTCGAAGAGTTAAAAGTCCAGACATGGTAACTGGATGACTTTTGCTGTTTTGCAGGGTCAGGCCTAATTGCGGGTGTTGATTGGTCAATCAATTCAGCGACTGTTTTCCAATCTTGCTGTTTAAACTTAAGCCAATTCATGAATCACCTAGGAGCAGAACAAGCGAGAAAATGACACAGATACCACCAGCTACAGTCCAACGCGTAGCCTCTTCTTCTCGCCCGTGCCCTTCCCACAGGCTGATGCGACGAGCCCTAACACAAAACCCTCCCAAGCTGTCCAACACAGTCGCCACAGTTCATCATCCTCCATGACCAGCATGTATACTGCAATTCAAGAAGCCGACACATTAGTCGACGACCCTCAGTTGACCAGTCGGGCCCAGAGCAAAATCAAAAAGGGCATAAACTTGGTGGATTTTGCAACAGAATTCACTAAAGAGGCCAAAAAGTTTATCGAAGAATCGAATGGAGGTAAGATGTTTGTGGCAGTAGTACTGCGAGTCTATTGACTTGTGTGAAGACACGTACCATTAAGCTACCACCAGACACCTGGCTAGACAAATCTCTGGAAGTGTTTTTATCTTCAGGAAAGAGGTCCGCAATCTCACTACTAATTAGAAAATTGTCGATCATGCATTGTTAGTGAATTCACTGGCTCCAGGCATTTAGAAAGTAGCAGGAGTAAACGCTACAGTAGAGTTTGGGTGGGCTGGTGTTAGTCGTGTGGCACTATCGATGATGGCTTGGCGGTAGGTGTGTGGCTTTTGACTACGCGTCTAACTAAAAAGATACTTCCCCCTAACCCACCATTTTAGCCCTCGCAACGCTTCGGCTGTTGAATAGCAGTTCAACCTACGCCACATCACCAAGTAAGGAGCGAGCGTCAACCCTAACGGACGCAAATAAGGTGAGTTCCCTTTGAGTGCCATGTAATGCAATAGTGAAACCGTTAACTCGGTATGTAACTGCGGGAGAACACTACTTTGATTAACTTTTGACCTCTTTGTCAATAAGCCCAGGCCATGTCTTTATCTTCAGAATTAAAGACAGCATCATCATGATGCGGGTAGTTTCATTATTGTGTGCAGTTATTGATGCGGAGGACTATTTGCGAACTGTAGAAAAGGTAGCCCACCGTCAGTGCATAGAATTCAGAAGGTGACATTTCTTCCACATTGATTGTTCATTCACTCTATACACAGGCGTCATTCGTAAGCGCTTTGACCTCTATGTTGAGACGGTATCAGGATATTCGTTTTAAACTTACAATGCTTTGGAGACGGCAGAGAACACGCAGTCCCTCATAGGCACACAGACTTCACCCATGACACTCCGAAATGCTTTCCAAGGAGGATGAGTTGTAAACTTGCTCACCAGCTTTGGAGCATCATCGAAATTACACTGCCAAGTTAGGTAAACCCCACGTTTAGTGCTCATCCGTCTGCTGCTGCTGCTGCTGTTGCTGCTGTACCTGGGATGGTTCTTAGCCGAGTTATCCTGAAAATCGGCATTCGTAACAAGTCGGACGACAGTCGCAGAACATCCATGAATAATTGTCTTTCAAGACTGTGTTGGAAACTCAATTCATGGAAAAGCTGGCTGAAGCCTTCTGAAAAAATGCGTGTCTATAAGCGATGCATGAAATGGACTTCAGGTGGTGACGCGATTTTGTGCTAGAAATCTTACGCATATGTTCATTAATGAATTGATCTGCCACATTGTGTGAGGTATGCATTTTGATCCTAAGCACTCATTTCATGATTCCAGATGTGGAGAACGTGAATAAATGGCCGAATGTCCTGATATCAGGTGTTCCTTTCAATGCACACAACTTGACGGACATGCGTGTTGTGAATGGTGAATGGTCGGTAGCAGAGCCACGTTGTGCAACTTCGATCGGAGAACAGAACTCCTGATGACACAATTGTGTGTACCTCGGGACGATTGGTGTATGCGAATGTGACCTTGAGAGCACGTGAGCCGACAAGTTATTGATGGCGCTTTGAGTTGCATGCAGGCACGTGGGCACCTCAAACACTTGGAAAGCCACTTAAGTAAAGAGCTTTCTGCAATGAGATTAGCTTTCTGTAGGCAGCGATCAATGGATGTATGCTTACTTCGATTTCTACGAACACAACAGAATGGATACCATTTCGATATCTTCAGCGAAAATCACGCATATTACAATGGGTTTATGTAAAATGAAGCTCTTTTCAGGACAATGCATGACTAGTTGCAGGGAACCTGAATTAGAAACCATTTTCGGAAGTCATTCGATGTCCTCTCTTCACTGGACTACTGACAATTCACGATGAAGGTGATTATTGACCAGTACATTCAATGCGAAGTGCACTAAATGAAAATAAGTGCCTGCGGCAGCGACGATAAAATTCACTACTTATCTTGTTCTTTAACGGTGGCAACTGGCGACAACAACCAACACATTAGATCTGAACATACTCGAGTCTAGTGCAAGAATACAGAAGTAGACTTTGTGGAAGTCCCATCATGACCTGATCCTTTGTCAACCCAGCCTGCATTCATGGGCTTTTATGCCCAACTGAGGACCCTTGTGGTGTGTACAAAATTAGAAGCACCATTGTTCCCTGAAAATTGCAAACCTAGGCTGCAATTACGGAACACTTTTTTGGGAAAATCGCCATCATCGAATCTACGCACTTTGCTGCAATGCATTAGCAACATCTCCAAAACCAGACCCTACTACGATCGAATCACGTTGATTTTAACGACCTTCCGCAGCATGACTGTTCTGCGTGTCGACTTCCTAAGTCGAAAATGGGTGACTCCACACACTGGGCTTCGTGTGTTAGCATTGTTTTTCCAGGGTAAACTCACAGTCTATGCGAGTCAAAATAGGTTAATTTTATTCATTTACGGTTGACCGATCTGCGAATTTATGCTGAGAATACAAACGTAAATTAAACATGAGGTTGTCTTGATTGGAAGCTAGAAACTTGCAACGTTTCCTGCCAAAAATACTCACCAGGGAACTACCGGTTTAGGAATTTCATAGGATTTACCAACGTTACCACACGATTCTTAGGTGCAAACGATGGTTAGGCTGATGTTTTGGCAACTCGCGTTGCAATTAATCACGCTTATTCAGAAAATTATCAGTTGCATTTGTTCACTCTACAGATGATGCAGTAATTCCATGTGAAATTCTGCATGGGTGTGCGGTTATTCGATACAAAACATCTCTTATTTTCATGAAAATAAAATTTTTATCGTAGCAGATGAAGGCAATTTACTTGAGCGTGGTAACAGCGCACTTTCTGAATCGCTGTTTTCCAAATTTTCTACCAGACCCTTTCGTGCTGGATCAAGCACTTGGTTGTCGAAAACATTGTAGTGAATCGTGTTA